CAATATACTCACCACAGAACTCGAAGTCATCTGGACAATCGTATTCATCAGCCAGCTCTAGTCTTAGTACGACTAGAGAGATAGACATTTAATTGATATCCAAGCAATAAAAGGGCTAAACTCAATTCATTTTGCTTCAATATTTCAAACGTTTCATTTTTTTGTCGAAAATAAAATAAAACAAATAATAAATAGAACGTTGCGCCCGCGATGGCCGAGCGGCAGTCCGCCCTCATGTTACGCATCACCAATTATCGGTCCCAGGTCTCTTTTGCTTCACGGTCAAGATGGCGGACGAACTTGAACTTTTTCCAACTTATTTGTTTGTATTGCAGGTGACCATTTCTTTGGCAAATAATAAGCTCTATAACGTAGGCCTTTATTAATTAGAAAGTTGTACGCCAAGAGCTTGATATGGAGTAGAGATGTTGGGAAATTTCACCGTTTCAGCCTAGTGAAACGGTGAGTTTATGAACCGTAAATACTTGGAAGATTTCCTTAGGGAATTGAGATTTTTAAAATTATTCATTCGCACTTGGCGGGAAAGTTATTGCTTTAATACAGCAAGCAAGACAGTTTAAGCTAGAATAGTCGAGCCGCACTGAAGTATTTATATTTGGTTTTAAAGTTGTCGCATCTTCTGCAACCAAACTGGAATTTCTAACACAGCGAGAGAACTCGATCGATTCCATAATGGGTTTCCGAAAAGTTGCTTTTTACTCTTTTCTCGCCCTCTTCGCCATGTATACTGCTATTCACTATCCACAGATTCCTGTCGGCGTATTTCGTCTTATTAATAATATCTTACCAAAGTTTATTCAATTTTTGTCACACATCGCGGTAAAAACCCGAGACTACTGCGCGCAAGACTTAGGAAAAGATGTCACAAGAGTTTCAGCTTTTCTATCCAAGATGTCCAGCTCGATATCTCAAGTTTTRACGCCATTAGGCAAACAGTTTGGTCAAAATATCGTGGATGCGCTGGAAGGTGTTCACAAAAATGCAATGTCATATACTGAAGATGGCCTGAACCAGATACTTGGCGTTGAAGGTAAGAGTATAAATCGGCAGTAGAATTGTTTTAGAAAATTTGTACGTAGTGGRCCTTTTATAAAAGTTATAAAACTAAACAAAGAATGTAATCTTAATCTGCTTTTAAAGCTTCAATTGATTAATAATGCAGCAAAATTATTGACTCTATAAAAACTTGATTAAAGTGAATAATTATTTGAAAAAATAATTAATCCATGAAATTTATAATTTGTTGCTAAGATGCAAACTTTCTGACTTGAGGTTCATTTATCACCATTTCTAAAGTTCACAGGACGGAGGGGTCTAAATGGAGCATTTGGGTAGTTTTGAAAACATTTTATTTGTAATTTGCTGTATCACTTTTTCAGTCAG